GATGAGCTGGGTGGAGAGATGGGGCCTCCCTGCCCTCAGCAAAGAGGCCGGTGGCCCTACTGACCTTCTGCATCCAGGAGCTACACAGTCCCTCCTCTGAGCCTAAGTGTGCCTGGCCCATTTGACACCCCATTCAGAAGGTGCTGTGCACCCATCCCAAGAGAAGGAGGTGAAGTCACCAGCTCAGTCAAGGCCACATGCAGGGAAGCCACTGAGATGGCCCACCACCCTGGGAGATGACCTGTGTGCCCTGAGGACTTGGGTCCCTTCGTGAAGCCACAGTGGTGCCAGAAGAGCAGAGCTGAACCCAGCCAGCCTTTGCCAGGCATAGTCTCACCTGCATGCCATGGTAGCCCTTCCCTGAGTAGGCCATGAGCAGTACAATCTTGCGCTTGGGCAGTTTTCTTGGCCGCTCCTCGTCCTCGCTGCCCCTGAGCCTCTTGGGCGGGTACTGTGCGTCCTCCCAGATCCAGCCACCTCGGGCCTTTCTGTCCTGCTGGTGTGAGGCCCGTGCTGGGTGCATCTCCTTCCCGGCCATGGTGGGTAGGCTGAGAGGACACGGGAGTGAGTGGGCCAAAGCAGGCAGGGGCAACAGGGTGCAGACCTGACAGGCTGTACCCATCAGGCCCATTCCAGCCCTCACTGGGGACCTTGCCCAGGGGTGGCCTAGTATGGGCTGGTCATGGGGCGGGGTCCTCAGCAGGGATGGGCAGCACAGGACTGCAGGAAGCAGGGCCCTTGTAGGATCGCAGCCCACGGCAGAGGCAGGCGGCCCATGGCAAAGGAGAATAGCAAGGGGCAGGAGGTGAACAGTGCAGGGAGGAGGGAGCAGCGGTGGGCAGCCTGGGGCAGCGGTGGGGCATCACAGGCAGAAGGGGACAGAGGCAGCCAGTGACAGCCGGCACAGAGCGGGTGGGCAGCGCTGGGCGGCGTGGAGCAGCAGGCGGCCTGCCCGGTCTTTACCCGGGCGCGCGCGGACCGGGGCGCGCCGGCCACCGTCCCCAGGCTCTCCGCAGCGCGGCCTGCAGGCCTGGGACACCCATGCGCGGCGGGCGGGGCTCCGAGCTCGGATCTTGCGCAGCCCCAGTCCCAGGAGGTCCTCTGACCTCCCCCGGCCCTCCTCCCGCCGCCCGCCGTCCTCGAGTCGGCCCAGCCCGCGCGCCGGGACCTGAAGAGCGCCCACCCTCCCCACTCACGGCCGCCGACGGAGCCGAGGCCGAACACGTGAGCCAGGGCGGAAGCGGGCGGGCGCCCAACGGCAGCCGAGCGGGGACAAAAGTCCTGCGCGTCAAGGTGAGGCGGAGCCGGAAAATCTGGGGACTGGATGGGGCGGGGCATAGGCCGAGGCTCCCTCCCAGGCCCCAGTTACCAAAGGCCAAGGCCCACAGCAGACATCCACAGAAGAGACGCGCTTGGCCCTGCCGTATCCCAAAAGGGAATCCATTTTGTTAGGGTTAGGGTAAGGGTATGAATGAGCCACTGTGAGAATTCCTAGAATAAACAAGTGATCATATACTAGCTGACACATTCATTAACTCGCCCAATCCTTGCGCCCTCCCGGAGTGGCAAGCACCATCGTCACTCCCACGTTACTGAAGAGGATCCTTGGAACAGAGAGGTACATCCCATGTCCGAGGTCGCACAGCCACACCCCTGGCACTGACAATGCACCCCGGTTCCGGTTCCTCGCATTTTCCACCCACTGGCTTGGCAGGGTGCAGACAGCATGGGGCCCAGGATTCCTGGCTTATTGTGGGTATTGATACAGCACTTGCCGTTGCCAGGCACAATTCCAATCGGTGTCACGCTAGCTGGATCAGTCCTCGTGGAACCATGGATAAGGCTGTGCTGTTTCTCCACATTACAGTGGGGGATGATGAGGCACAGGGCACTGAAGGGGCTTGTTTGGCATTCAGACCCAGCCTTCACCTCTACTGTATTTTATTTGCAGTGTTAGGGGCACCGAAGCCAGGTCCTCACACGTAACAGGCAAGCTTTCCACCACTGGGCTACACCCCAAGGCCCCAGCTGCATCTCTGCTCCTAACACTGACTACTTATGCCTCTTGCCAACCTTTTATTTGTTTGAGCAAGGATGACATTTTTTAAATGCTGCCACTTTCATTTCCTTTAAATGGAGAATGTTTAATATCATGGAAAGCTCATTACATTGTTCTTGTTTTTTTGCCAAAGACTAGTGTACAATTTTCCAGAGTCAACGTGGTCCCTCGTCAAGTACCCACAGCAGACAATGTAAAGGTCAGTCCCCCCGTTTTCTGAATACCACGTTCACCCTGAGCACCCTCAACCTGCATTCCTTTTGACTCTCTTTACTTTCAGAGATGAGAAGTGTAGCTGAACTCTGCCCCACCCTTGCTGACTCCCAACTCCGCTTTCCCACTTGCCCTCACAAAGGCTCCCTCCCAGATGATCCAGGACCCTCTCCCCTACTCAGGATCCTAAGATGAATCACATCTGCCAAGTCCTTCCTACCAGCTACAACATGCTCCCAGTTTCCCAGGAATCGGGGCCTGCACACCATAGGGGACCTTGACTCAGCTGACCTCATGCTTTAATTTGGGGCAGGAAGGAGCCCTGTAGGTACACAGGGCAAGTATGTTCCATCAAGAGTGCAAAGTCCCGGGGCAGGAGCATGCCAGGTGGGCTCCAAGAAGGGCTTGCTCCCTCCTAAAGGTGGAGGATTTAGGGCCAGGGGCATCCACCTAGAGCCTGTAGGGTGCCTGCTGAAGGAGAAAGCCACAGGAAATAAGGCCAGAGTCTGGGACCTTGTGGACACAGAAGGTTGTGGCTTTGGTGCTGAGTAACCAGGAGACCAGAAGGCCCAATAGATGCCCCTTTCTGGGACCATTCATGGACTATGTGGAGTGGGTGAGGCTGGTGGCCAGAAGGGGAACAGGAGAAAGTGACCCACCGTGCATGACAACTCCCAGGCCATCTCACCTGCCATTATTCTAGGAGGGAAGGGTCCCAAGCATAGGCATACAAGAGCACCTGTCCTGTCACAGAGGAGCCGGGATCCCTTCCCAGAGCAGCCGGGATCCCTTCCCAGAGCAGCTCTCTGTGCCTTTGCAGCTTGAGGCATCCGCGAGACACACCTCTCCTGGTAGGAGCACAAGCTGGGCAGTTCTGCGTCTGCTGGGGCCACGGTGTCCCCCTGCAGCCAGCAGAGCACAACCCAGCCTGAGGCGCTGTGCTGTGCCCTGGGAGGTCAGTCTCCATCCCAGGCAGCCCCTCTCAACACACTAAGTCTCCTGACCAGTCGCAGCAGTCAGCAGCCAGCAGCCAGCAGCCAGGTCCAAGCAAGGTGCTCCTGTCTTTGCCTCTGATGCACTCCTGTCCCCCACAATACTCTGTACTGGCCACACCTGCTCCCTCCTTAACAGATGATGGTGTCACCTCCTTAACAGATGACGGTATCACCTTGACTTGAACCTGTCTGTAGAGGGCAAACTGAGGCCCAAGAGTGGGGACAGAGGCACAGGGTACCCTGCTTCTGTGCTAGAGCAGGGACCGTACACCCTCCTGGCTAAGAGCACTCACCCTGGGCCACCTCTTCCCCTCAGGCTCCAGTGCACATCGCCTGCCCAGGCTGGGGAACTCAGGGTGCCTTCAAGAAAAGGACAAGCCATAGACATGGGGAGTCCTCAGTAGCTCCCAGGCTCAGGCAGAGGAGCAGGTGGGCACAGGGCAGTGAGCCATTCTGTGTGATGGGATGGTGCACATGACCACACATTCGTCAAGACCCACAGGTTGTGCACACACCCCCCCCCCAAAATGAGCCAACACCCTGTCTGGTGGCTTCAACAGTACCTCCCAGGACCATGGCTCCTCAGCACAGGACGCCAGGGTGCAGAGACAGCAATCCACTCTGTGGGCCTCCCTGCTTAGTGCAAACCTACAACTGCTCAAGTGTGAACCCAGAACACCAGGGCCCTGACACCAGCAGGCATGTCCCTCACAGCAGCAGGGCCCCAGCCCGCCCCGCCTACCCTGCCCAGGGAAGTTTCTTCCCAGCCGACAAGCACCTGTGTGTGCTTCAGGTCTCCAGGGCTCCCCAGGCAGACCCTCAGACTCTTCTCAGACTTCCAAGATCTGCACCTCCTACTTCCTCCAAGATGCAGCCTTCCAAAGAATTGCATTTAATACTGCAGTTACTTTCCTTATGAACACAGCACAGGTTGGCCGTTGGCCTCTCCACTCCAGACATGGGCACTTACAGAGATGAGTTGAAGAGGGGCCTATGTTAGTGCATCTGTTACTGGGGTACCTGTAGAACTGAAAACCTGGACTTCCTGAGCAAAAACACTAACCTTAGGATCCCACAATAAAAGGACAGAATTAGCCCACTAAAATGGGCAAAGGAGCTGAGGCAGGAGGATCAGTTTCCAGGGCAGCCTCAACAATGCCATGAGACCCTCTCTCAAAATAAATGAAAAGAGAAAGGGCAAAGGAGCCAGTACAGTGGCCACGACTGTAACCCCAGCTACCTGGAGGCTGAGGCAGGAGGACCAGTTGCCAGGGCAACGTAGTGAGACTCTGCCTCAAAATTAAAAAGGACTGGCTGGGGCTCTGTGGCCAAGTACCCTGAAGGTTCTCACAGTGTGCAGGGGTCCTGGCAGTGTCAAGGGCTATGGCAGCTCCTGTGTACAACAGGGGTTCCACCTGACCCTGGACACCGTGCTAGTCCACCTCCCAGAGGACTCAAGCCAGTGGATGCCCTGGGCCCCACTACTCCCCTCAGCCTGGGGGGCTGTTTCCATTAGGAGGGAGAAAGATGGCATGAATCCAGAAAGCTGTCCCTGGGTCTGGCTCTGACTGGGCTTTGCTCCCAGAGCTAGGTGAGCTGCCATGAGGACCGTGGGAGGCCCCAGAATCCTCACTTGGGCTGGGGGACACCATGCTCCACAGAGGGACCCCACACCTGAGAAGACAGCTGGACTTGGAAGACAGTGGCATACCAAACAGGACATGGACACGATGGGTAATTCCAAAGTTTACTTCCCTCGAGGCACACAACACAGGTGAGGGGAGGACTCACACATTCACCCTAACAAAACATAGGCCTGAGCACCACCTCGTGGAGGGCAGCATCCACTCACAGCACACGCAGCCACAGCCGTGGGCACCAGGAGGGGCCAGCAGGCAGGGCACGGCACCAGTCTGCCACGGCTCTGGGTTCCCGTCGGCATAAAGCAATAAATACTAACACGGGACATGCAGAAGGGAAGCCGGGGCGACGAGGGAGACAGGGGTGGGGGTTTTCTCATACATCCAAGCACAGTGGCGACATTTCAAGTATTGCAAGGAAAACCACACGTTTCTGTGCATGTGGCACATGACCTCTGAACCTATACCGTGGGCACCACTGACCCACATCTGCCTCCGTGGATGCTCAGGGATACATTCAAGTAAGGCTGGCAAAGCTGAGCCAAGCCAGGGTGGGCAGACCAGGGAGGCCCAGGCAGGGCACCCTGAGCATACCCCACCCTGGGCCCTGGGAGACAGGGCTCTGCCCAGCCCAGAAGCCACCAGGCAAGAAGCCTTGATATCAGGACCGGCTGTGAAGCCCCAGGGAGGTTCTGCATATGTTACTTTTCCTGTTGTACAGAAGGTCCACCCTCCCCTGCCCACCATGTTCAGGTGGGGATGGAAGCTGAACACTGCCTATCCTGTGGCCAAACAGCAGGACGGTGGGAAGCAGCCAGCCAGAAACACCCATACTGCAGTGGGTGTCCGGCAAGAGAGCCGTGCCATACCCTGGGCACCCGTCAGGCACCTCCTGTCCCCCACGACGTGGCACCCACAGCAGTGTTCAGGCCCACCCACCCTTCCAGAGCAATTCCTCAAACACTTAAATTCTCTCCTTTGAACAATGAAAAAGAAAGAACTGCAGAAAAATAAGACACATTTTAGGAGTAAAGTGTGAAAGAGGACATCTGTTCTGCGTTTGGGAAACTTGGTGCTTCACACTGTCCCGAAGAGCCTTTCAGCCCACGGACAGCGTCTCCTGCAGGGCAGCAGTTCCTCCCAGGACTACACCAAGGGCTGGGGAGGCCATGCACACACACTCTGGCTGGTCTCCTCGTGTGTATACACCTATGTGCATATCCACAGCTCCCGGGTATCCACGCGCGTCCACATGCTCCCCGCTGAGCAGGAAAGGGTTCTTGCAGTCTGTACCGTCCACGCAGCTCTCCAGGTGGTCAGCATAAAGTGCACAGGTGGCCCACAGAGCTGGGTGGGTGGTCTCAGAGGGACAGTTCCTATAGAGAAGGGCAGAGACCCAAGGACGCACCCTTGTTCCTGGGCAAGCGACTGGGCAGTGAGCCCTGAAGAAGAGCTTGCTTTGGCATGGACACAGCAATGCTGTCTCAGGGCCCCGCCTGTCCTCAGGGCTGCCCCGGGCTTTGGAGGGTGGCAGGTACCACAAACACCACCTGCTACCTGCCAAGGGAGGCAGCCACAGGGAACTAATTTGGAAATCCTGCAGAGGGAGGGAGCTGTCCCTGGCACCCTGCAGTTCACCTCCAGGAAAGACCAGTAGCCTCTGAAGCAGGAGACACACCACATGGTGGGGCTTGAACTCCATGGCTCCACCTAGTGGCCCTCCCAGGGGCCTGCGCACAGACTCAGCACCATCAGCCACGGCTGGCAGGCCTGTCCTGACAGTCTGGCCAGCACGTGGACCCCACCCTGCAGGGTTCGCAGAGAGGGTCCAGCCCCTCGGGACAGCACACCAGGCAGTGGGTCAGGCGCAGATGCCAGTTAACAAGGCCGAGAGCCTTCTCTCGATGCACAGCTTGCCTGCAGAGGGGAGGGAAGGTGAAGTGGACAGACGTAGAGCCACCCTGCGCACCCAGCCGGCCTGCCCTGGCATCCAGCCAGCCTGCACTCACACTTGGCCACGCTCTCAATATCTGCCTGGTCCGTGAGCATGCGCTGTAGCCCCTCCAGCAGCAGCAACGCCTTGTGGTAGCGTGGCACACAGCCCTCCCGGTGCTGGAACATCTCATCCAGGGCGGCCGACTGCACCTGCGGGAAGGGCAGAGCTGGTCAGGGTGGCACACCTCCTCAGCAGGGGTAACACTGAAGCACTGTCCCATGGGGTGCAAACCCAATGCTCCGTCACCACCACTCACAAGGCCAAGGGCAGTTAGAGCTGTGGATACCCCCAGAGTAGGTGTCCCACTCAGCCCAGCATGGCCACTGTGCTATGAGTTTGGCCTGGGGACACCTACCCGCCATGTGGCCCAGAGCACTCGCTTACTGTCATTCAGACCACCATTGGTGACAAAGTGCCCTGGCGGCAGCCCGAGGGGGGAGCGAGAGGCAGGGCAGGTAAGCCTGTCCTTGTGGTTGGCCAGGCTTTTGTTATGTGTGACTTATCTCAGGAAAGCAGCCACAGAGGTCCACAGAAGCATGCCTGGGACCCCAGTGTCTGGAGAGCAGATCTCTTTTTTAGTTGGGGAAGGTGAGTCTCAGGGAAGAGTATGACCAGGATGCAGCTGGACTGTGGAGGTGGCCGTGGGCCAGGTCCAGGGACGCCCTTGCCATCTGGCTCTCCAAGCCAAGAGACCAGCAGCAGCCCAAAGCCCCCATGGGCCTCCAGGGTCCCAGCACAGCAGCCCGCCCTACCATCTGCACAGCATGACTAAGGATGAGCCTCTCAGCGGTGACACCATGGATGCCGTCCAGCAGCCGCTGCTTGTCCAGGAAGAAGCGTTGCAGTCTCAGGCTCAGGCCCTGACAGGACACCACGCTGGCCTTGTACAGCTCGTTGAGCCTGCGGACCACTGCGGCAGGGAGGAGGGCACAGGTGAGGTAAGCCCAGGCCCACCTTGGCCAGGGAGGGCTGTGTGACAAGGGAGCTCGTGGTGGGAGGGCTGGGCCAATGCCCAGCAGGGAGGACACCTGGGCAGGGAGCAAGCACCCACCCCACCACAAACCCCAAGGCTCCTGGCCTCCACGCCAGGCTCAGCAGCACCCACAGAGGTGAATGACCCCGGTAGACTACGCCAGCTGCTCCTCCACCTGGCCTGTGCTGCCCATGTGGCCTTGTCATTTATTACCTGCCCACTGTCCTGGCTCTCTCACATCGGCTGGCTCCTGCCTCCTTGGACCCACCCCTCAGCCATGCCACCACAGCCCTCACCCTGCTTCACGGTAGATGAGAGGCAGAGCTTGCCGGCCCGGATCTGGTCAATGGCGGTCTGCAGGCCCGAGGACAGGAGCTCAGCCACCTTCAAGTACAGCACCAGCTGCTCTGCGAATCTGCAGGAGAGCCAGCAGGTCAGAGGCACAGGTCCTGCCCCAGGGCACTGCCCACCAGCCCCACCTGGGGCAATACCAACCCCCACTCGCGGCTCAGCAGGCTGATCTGGTCGGCCACCATGCTCTCCTGAAGCTGGCACTCAGGGCCCCCGGCCCCCTCGCTGGCACTGCCCTTGAGGGCAGCGATTTCCAGGACAAGCTGGACGAAGGCAAGTGTGAAGCGCAGGCTGTGCAGGATCTCCGTGTGCTCCTGCTGCAGACAGGAGGGGCGCTCACTGCCAGCACAGGCGGGGGCACGCCCACACCGCCACCCCACCAGGCCTCACCTCCATGAGCGTCTCCTCTGGGAGATCAGGGGCCTCAAAGGTCACAGCCCCGTCCAGGTTGACAGAGAGGGGGTCAGCAAAGCTGCAGCAATGGCCTGGGGCAGGGAGCTCAGGGACAGGCTCACTGCAGGCCCCGGGCAGCAGATGACGGGCAGAGGAGCCAGCAGAGCCCACTGTGGGAGACAGCTGGTGATGGAGGTGGCAGCCCCACCCCTGTCCTGCTCCACAGCCCCCAGCTCTGCAGACTCCACACTAGGGCCCAGGTGGCCTCAATTCACACCCCACCGTGGCAGGGAAAGCCCAGCAGGCCACATTAATAGCCCCCAGCCATTGGGGGTCCCACAGGACCCCACCTGGGGCACTGCAGGCTTCCGCACACCTGAGCCCACATCTACCCAAAGGTGGAGGCACTTGAGGCCATGAGGGTGCAAGGTTCCCACCTAATGGGGCTAGGTTCCAGGGAAGGTAGGGTGTCCCAAGGATGGAGCAGCCCACTACCTTCACTGTGGAAGTGACAGGCCCCAGTCCAAGTCTGTGCCAAAACCGGGGGCAAGTGGCCTACAGAGGACAGCCTGTCAAGGTGGCTGAACACAGAGGCTGGCGTCCTGGCCAGGGGCCCAGTGTCACAGTCACCGTCCCTGCTCAAGGTACAATCTAGAAGAGCCATAGACCTTGCTTGCTGACTGGCCTGGACACCTTGGGAGCTGGGGCTGAACTGGGATGGCCCTCTGCCCATCTCAGGGCCTTGGGGCCTCAGAACTACCTAAAGCTAAAGGATCCCCAGCCCCAGGGTGCTGCCTCAGCCCCAACAGGTCCTCACCTGAGAACATCCTGGTGCGGGGTCCCTGGGGCGGTGTGGTCCCACTGGGGGGAGAACCCACAGTGAAGACCACTGGGGAGGGGCTGCTGGCTCCCCCAGCCCGGGCTCCTGGGTGCAGGTTCCCTCCGAAGCCAGCAGAGGGTGCTGGGAGACAAGGAGGGCTCAGGACCTACTCTGGGGCAGTCCTACCCGGACCCCAGACATTGGCCCCAGCCCCACCCAGCCCCACTGGCCCTCAGCCATTGCCCCCGGCCCCTGGCCCACCAATCTCCATGGGCTTCTCCTGCAGGCTGTCTGTGCTGCCAGAGTCGGAGGCCTGGGTCCCAAACGCAGCCTTGAGCAGCAGGTCGGTGAGGCGGCTGGTGCTGAAGGACCTGCAGATGCACACTGTAAGCAGCCTGGCCCCGCACACCTGCCTTTGCAAGGACAGGCACAGGCGATAGCCCTCCACCCACCAAGAGCAGATCCCACCAACACCTGCCTCCGACAGGCAGCAGAGGCTCAGGAGGGAAGGACTGGCTGCAGGGCGGCCAGGTCTGAGCCAGGATCACTGAAGCCACCACAGCGGGTGGCTGAAGTAGGACAAGGCTGGGGAGCTCGCCTCCCATCCCCACTCACCGGCCAAAGGGGCCCTTGTTGTCCTCAGCAGGCCGAAGGCCAGAGCCCAGCTGCTGCCCCTGAAAGGGCCCCACCTCTGAGAGATCGGGCAGCGTCCGATTCCGTGGGGGGGTCATCACCACGCCCTGCCGGGCCAGGAGAGCCAGCAGGTTCTGAGAGCTGGGGGCCTTAGGGAAGTCGAAGGAGGGCAGGGCCTGGGGACAGAGCAGCCCTGAGCACACCTGCCTGGGGAGCCCCCAGGTGATGCGAAGGTGAGGCAGGGTGCTGCAAGGGGCCAGCGGGCAGGCACAGAGGCCATCACACCTAGCAGCTGGCTGCAGCTGTGGGAGGCTGAGCCCGGGTGTACCCCGTCTGGCTGACTCTCCCTCACCCGGTCCCTCAGTCCACACACCCCAGGAGTGGCCAGTCCTGCTACAATGCCGTGCTGCCACTGGAAGTTGGCCTCCCAGGTGCATGTCCCCTCCAAAGGACGGTCACGGGGTGTCACATTAAGGACCAGCCACAAGTCCCCATTCTACAAGGCCTCAACACAGGGTAGGCACGAGGTCACCAGGAGCTGGCCAGCCCTTAATAACAGAGGGACCTTGGAACCTGTAGGGCAGACTTGGTTCTCTTACCTTGGTGGGAGAGCCCAGGATGGGAGGCAGGGGGTTGCGCTGCAGGAAGTCAGGCAGCTTGGGCGAGCCACGCAGGGACCGGCAGGGCTGTGGCACAGGAACTGGCTGGGGAGGGCTGGCCTGTGGTGGGCTGAAAGCTGCTCCCAGGGGGTCCGTAGGGGGCTTGGGGAGCTTGGGCCGAACAACGTGCAAGTCGGACAGGTTGGGGGCGCTGTGCAGACGGCAGCCAAGACCTGGGGCCCGAGGGGAGTGTTCGGGCACGGAGGAGCCTAAGACCAGAGACCAGGCCTCAGCACCTCCCAGGTCCTCAGGCACTCCAGAAAAGGGACACAAGGGGCCACTGCCGCCACGCCCTCCCCACACATCCCTGGGCCCCACAGTCACTGTAGGTGATGCCTTTGCTACACTTTGCAACTGAGGAAACCAGCAGAGGGATTGAGAGGCCCGTGCAGGGGCACACAGCTGCAGAGAAGGGGCTATGGACAAACAGCCTCCAAGTCCCCAGCAAGGAGACCAGCCACCTGGCCCCGTCCACCTTTCTGTCCTCAGACCCATGCTGACTGTTCCTACCTGGACGCGGGGACCTTCCAGCCCGCATCTCAGCTCCCTGTGGGGAGGGTGCCTTGCTCCAGCCCGGCCGCTCAGGAATGGTTCCAACTTAAAGGAAAGGGTCCCAGGGTCAGACCAGGACAGACTGCAGAGTCCCTCATACCCCATATAAACCTCAGTTAGCCAGTTCTGTTCAGGTTGGGACCAGGCCAGAGGCTCACCTTGAGGAGATGGCATGTAGGGCCGGCCTCCACCCAGGGACAGCTTCCTGGCCAGGACAGCTCCATCAGGGTGGGATGGAGGAGATGGGCTAGCTCGTGTAAAACCCAAGGGGCTGGTGCTGCCCGACCTGCGGATGGCAGAGGACCTGCAGGTGCAGCAAACCAGGAGGTGAGGCCCTAGCTCCTCACCCACATCAGAAAGGCAAACAGCCCTGCTGCTGGCTCCGCCCTCACTGTACTGCCCAGGCAATGCAATGGCCTTAGAGCAAGCACTGACCAACCAGGGCCCTCTGACTCCAAAGCCACAGTCCTGCAGGGACAACTGCTAGCCCAATCTGCCTCTCGTGAACAACAAAGAAAGCACCCCTTCCTCCCATCTTTACTTCTGTCAAAACTGGAAAAACTTTCTGGCATGGTGGCGCCTGCCTGTAATCCCAGTGTTGCCAGCCTCAGTAATTTAGTAAGCCTGTAGGCAACTTTTTTTTTTTTTAGAGATGGGGGGGAGAGAGAGAGAGAGAGAGAGAGAGAGAATTTTCTAATATTTATTTTTTAGTTTTCGGTGGACAAAACATCTTTATTTTATTTTTATGTGGTGCTGAGGATCGAACCCAGCACCCCACGCATGCTAAGCGAGCACGTTACCGCTTGAGCTACATCCCCAGCCCGGCCGTAGGCAACTTAGCAAGACCCTGTCTTAAAATAAAAAATAAAAAGGCTGAGGACGTGGCTCAGTGATGATACACCCCTGGTCAGCAGGGTTTTATAAGCTCAGGATACCTTGCTCACATGGTCGGAACAGCACTGGACCCAGGAGCCAAGAGCATATGGTACTGACGCACAGTGCACAACCAGGACTCACCGGGGCGTCTGAGGCAGAGCTGGAGAGTGCAGATTCTGCTCAATGCGCTGGTAGTTGTGCACCTGGGTGGGGACCGGGATGGGCACCGAGGCTCCACACCGACTGCTAGAGAACGGGCCAGCCCGGCTGTGGAGAGAGGTCAGGCTCACTGAGCAAGGGTGCTGGGGTAGAACCAGGCCCAGACAGCCTTGGGCAGGGGCCGCCTGGCCACTGGCCCAGAGGGAGACTCCAGTCAGAAGGTAGGCAATGTCCTCGGTACCCCCACCACCAACCCCTTGGCCCACGGCCTTTAATGGGATCCTCCCTGTGGGGCTGGGGTCCAGCCAGGTCTGATCAAAGGCAAGGCCTCCAGACATAGCAGACCTTGCAGGGAGGGGCAGCTACCCCACCTGGGCCCTACTTACCCAGAGGGGCTGGGGGAGCTGCTGCAGGTGGGAGAGGGAGAGGGAGATGGGGTCCGGCCGTGGCTCTCCAGGCCGGCAGAGGCCACCAGGGAGCTCCTAGTGGACAGAGGACAGGGAGGCACCATCACCCACTGTGGCACAGGCCCTGGGATCTCCCCATCCCTAGCCTTCGCTGGGCCCAGCAGTCTGGTCCTTCCCAAATGGCCTCCACCAAGGTGGGGCTGGACAGGCAGAGATGATACCAGCCACTCTGAAGGCCCACCTCTGTCCCTCACAGGGCTTACCCGCTACACAGCAGACTGTCCGGCGGGGGCTTGGCACAGGCCACCTCAGCTACCAGGTCCCCTGTGGGTGAAAGACAGCATCTGGCCTAGAGTCCCCATCCTCCAGGTCCCACCCTGCCCCAACCTCTGCTCCACTCCTCCCCACCGCTCCTCTGCTCCCCACACTCAGGTGGAGATTCCAGAAGGGCAGCTGTGAGCTAGCACTGCATCTCTGTGGATGGGACTTGGGCAGTGAGATACAGACTGGGAAAAGGGGACCCTGGGTACAGCCCCCAATCTAGGAGACCCCCATACTACTTGCCCCCTTCTCTCCCACTCCACAAACTCCTAGACCCAGGGCCTCTTCCCAGACTGGACTTCTCTGGGATGGATGGCGAGGACAGTGATCCCTGACCCTGGTGAGGGGCCAGCCTTGCCAATCCCCTGCCAACCCAGAGCGTGAGCTGATTGGACATGCCAAGGGCCAGGGCTGAGTCAGGCTGCTCCTGGCCAACACCAGGGCCAGCCAGGTCCCCAGAACAAGGAGGGGGAGCACAGGATCCAGTGGTAAATTACACATCCCCAGCAGGCAGTCCCAACCGCTAAGGGCAACTTCCAATCTGGTGTGGGCAGCAGGGAGTACCAAACACACAGTGGGGGATGCTGGAAGGACTGCAGGGCAGCCTGGAGATGAGGGCTGCCACTTGCCTGCAGAAGGCCTGGCTCAGGGCAACAGAAGCAGGCTCTGCCTGGGGGGCCAGAGCCTGGAGTCTTGAGCCTCTGATGCCGGCTGACCAATAGGTGGCGTCACCTATGCTCCAGGTCCCCTTCAGCAGAGACAGACTCACCGACATGCTGGGCTGCTGGGGCTCCGGAAGCAACCTCCTGACTGCCCAGAGGAGACCCCACACAGACTCACTCGCACATCCCGCAGACAGGGCCACTGAGCTCTGCCTACCAATCCCTTTCTGCCTGCAGGCCTCCTGACCTGGAAACTGGGCTGGGACCATGACGAAGTCATCTGTGTCACAGGAGTCCTTGCTGCTGCCAGCAGAGTCCCGGGAGCCGTGCAGGAAGCCAGCCGTGTCCGCTGGGGAGGTGAGAGTCTTCTGCATGTGAGGCATCTCCCCTAGGGACTAGCGAACAGAGGAGGCTGAGCCAGGTCCGGGCCCCAGACTCTGAGGACCAAACCGCACCTCTTCTAGGCCCACGCCTCAGCAAAACCCAGGGCCAAGGGTGCAAGCAACAGGCTGTGTGGGGCAGCAGGAGTTACCAGGAACTGCACCTGGAGGCCCACCACTGAGCCATCCCCCATGCCTTTGTTGTTTATTGTGAGATGCGGGGGTCTTGCTAGGGTGCTCAGGCATGCAGTACCACTGTGCCCAACATACTTGCTCCTTGAATTCCAAGACACAGAGGCCTGGTCTCGTAGTCACGTTGCCCCCAGAGCTGCCCACAGCACCCTAGCCAGGTGGCAGGGGCCTGGCTCCCAGCTCCCTCAGGCAGGCGCTTGTCCCCGGCCCCCTGGACCTCACTGTTCTGCTTCTACAGCAGAGAGCGCCAGGTGTCTGGTGGGGACACTCTGCTGGGCGCCAGCCAGGACACACAAGGCCTAGAGCTCTGCCCAGGGCAGCTCCACTGTGCTCACATTTGGAGCCAAGGGCACAGGCACAGTCGGCTCACTGCACACTGGACAGAGGCCAGAACCCACACACCAGCTCATCACCACCCACCGCGAACACCCCTCCTAGAGGCAGGCGCTCAGAGGATGGGCAGGGCTCTACCTGGCAGCGTCATGGAGCGACCCCTAGGAGGACCACCACTCCCTAGTACTTCTCAAAAGAAGTCGAGGCTTCGTGCCCCTGCCCACTCCTGCACCAGTGGCTGGTATTCAGCCTGTGCCCTGTTCAGTGGTGCGCCCTGTCTCCCAGCCTTCCCTCTGGAGCAGAGTGTGCTCCTGCACTCCTGTGGCTCACAGTACCGGTCCAGGCAGGTCCAGCAATAGGGCTGGAGCATGCCCACTTACCGGAGGGGAGGCAAGATGAGAAGTGGAGCTACTACTGGAGCTGCTGCCAGACCCTGAGCTCGGGTACGAGGGCACAGGCACCGGTGGGGCTGGAGAAAAGTACCAGTCAGTCTACCAACATTCTGAGGACAGGGGCTGTTTGAGGCCACTCAAGCCAGCCAGCCCAGGTCTGGACAGTCTCCAACATAGCTCGGTGGAACAGCTCCCTGACCTCTGACCAGTGGGGGGCAGGGTGAGCATGGCCTCGAGCCACCCACTCTGTGCCCTGCACCAGCACTCAGAAACCCCCCACCAGGCCTCACTCTGACAGCAGCTGGAGTGAGCAGGTGACCCACCTTTACACCCACTGCACCATGGCCACCTGCCACCCACTCCTGGGGCCCAGGCTGCAGCAGGGCTAAGGACCCATGGGCACCCCCACCCTCCTGAGAGGGCCTAGCACAAGGCCCGTACCCTAAGCCCTCACTCCCCAGCCCAGCATAAGACACCTAACCCAACCTAGGGAGGACATCAAGGCCCCTCCTGGGGCCCTAGGACCCATAGGGACTTACACTTCTTAATGGAGGCACTGGCGTCCAAGAAAGGGTGACGAAAAAATTCCTCTGGAGAGGAAGAACAAGGCCTCAGGAGTGCTTCTCACTCAAGCTGTGGGGTCAGGCAGGCCCCCAGACCCCTGGGCAGAGGTGGGACTCTAGCTCACAGCATGGCCCCCTGTGAGCCTGGGGTGCTTCACCATCTCCTGGTTGGGGCTTCCCAAGGCAGAACCAGGTCTGCCAGCCTTGCTGCCAGGGAAGGAGCTCAGGTACCCGGGGACCCATTCATGCCACTCGCAGATTAGAGGTGCCACAGTGAGGCTCATAGGAGCCCAGGTGCCCAGACCCCAACCATCAGCTGGAAAAGGAAGCCAGAAGCAGTACCTGCCACCCAAGGAGAACTGCTGAGGGGACAGTGCCCCAGGAGCATGGGAGTGTTGGGGAAGGAGTTAAGGGTTTGACGCTGCCGTGTGCGTGGTGGTGGTGGGGGCCTGGGGACGCTGCCCCAGGCCATTAGGAGGCAAGCTGCGTGCACTCACCGAAGTCCATGCGGTCTTTGTGGTTGCGCTGCAGCAGAGCCAGGAGCAGCTGTCGCAGGGGTGCCGATGTCTCCCGGGGGATGCTGGGTGGGCAAGAAAAAACAGGCTAATGGGGCTAGTGGGGCACTGGGCAGAACAACCAAGGGGCAGGAGGCACTTACACGGGCACAAGAGTCTTGTTCTTCTCGTAGAACAGGCGCAGGTCCTGAGGGCTGCTGGCCTGGTGGGACAACGGCATGAGACTTTGCTCCCGCACAGCCCTGCTTCCTGCTATGGCCTGGTTCCCTCCCTGGCTGGCCTGTGGCCAAGACCACAAGCCAGCTCCTGTGCCTGTGTCACACACACTGCCTCCCTGCTGACCCTGGCCAAGCAGGGCTCAACTACCACAAAAGATAGCATTTTAATGAGCCAGGGACCACAGGCGGGAGCGATCACCTGGAGCGCAGTACTGCCACCCATGACCCATACTCATTCCCCGCCTCCTCCTCCTGCAGAATGACAGGCAGGCTCACCTGGAACGGAGCCTTGCCCGTCAGGCACTGGTATACGATGGTGCCGATGCTCCACAGGTCTGCCTTCCCATCATAGTGCTGGGACATGATGACTTCAGGGGCCTGTGGGAACAGGCCAGCGCTCGGGCACAGGACAGGCACCGGAGCGCAGTGACTGGGAGCAGATGCCACACAGGCACTGGCTCAGGACCAGCCAACCCAAGCTGACTTGGCGGAAAGGCACCAGCACACTGGCTGCAGCCCAGTGCCTACATGGTCAGCTCTGGACACACAGGTCAGAACCCAGGGGCTAGCACCCTCAAGAACTTTGGGTGATGGGGCCATCCCCACTAGGCCCTGCTTGGGAGATGCAGCAGGGAGGAGGCCACGCACCATGTACATGGGAGAGCCGCAGAGCGTGGCTGCCATCATGTTGCTTTGGAGGTACCGGGCGAACCCAAAGTCAGCTGTACGGAAGAGACATCAGGAAGCTTTACTTGGGCTGGCCACTGCCAGGGGTCACCTTCAGTAGGCCTCACTAATCTTTTTTTGGGGATGTGATAGGGGTTGAACACAGGTGACAACTGAACTGCACCCCCAGCCCTCTATTTTTGAGATAGGGTCTGACAAAGGTGCCCAGGCTGGCCTTGAACTTGCAACCCTCTTGCCTCTGCCTCCTGAGCAGCGGGGATTACAGCTCAGGCCTTACCGATCTTGACGCGGATGTGATTGGGGTTCGCACGGCGCCCCCCAGGGTTGGACAGCAGGATGTTCTGGGGCTTGAGGTCACGGTGGATGATGCCCTTGCTGTGCAGCAGCCGCATGGCACCTGCAATCTGCTGCAGGAAGAGCCTGATGGTGTCTTCACTCAGGGTCCGCATGGCTGCGAGGAGACGTGCGCTCAGGGGACACCAGCCACCGCTGCCCAAAACATTCCCAGGGTGCATGGGGCTGAGCCCAAGAGGACAGGCAGACTGTCTGGACTGTGCCTACTGCCTGGAGAGGCAACTTCCTACTCAGCTGCAGCCTACCTGACCCTTAGCAGGGGCCTCGTCCCCACGCCACCTCACGTCTCCTCCTTCACACCAAACACTGCCAGCCTCAGTGCCAGCCACAGGCTGCTGGTCTTTCTCAGTTTATGTTTCACTCTCTCTGCCTTTTAATATCTTTCTCACCCCCAGACAAGCAGCCTACATGGCAAGGGGTTCTAGGATGAGCCCCCAGGGTCCTGGCCCACCGGGACCTCCAAGAACTAAGTACTGGGCAGGTAACCTTGAGGCGGAGCTGAGACCCTGCCCAGGCTCCCAGGAGGCCCTGGCCCCTGCCAGCAGCAGACACAGGGCCAGTGGGGAGGTCCCCGTGTCCAGGGTAGCTCCAGTGGTCCCAACTGGGCCACCAGGCATCTTAGGACCAGGTGTGGTGATGCAAGCAGGGCAGCCAATCCTGGGAGGGAGCAGAAGCAGGTGGTGGTCACTGGCACCCAAGGAAGGAGACCATAGGGACAACCAGCCAGGTCAGGGCAGAATCCAAACATGCACACTGCAGACAGACACAGTACCAGGGAGACACAAACACCCCACACAGCCCCTGCAAACACATGTACCTGGAGACCCCCCGCCCCAGGGACCAACCACACATTCACCTCAGGGGCAGGCTCACCTGGCCGGTCATCACACACAGGCAGGTAAGCCAGGGAGCCCAGACTCACGCACAGGTCACAGAACTACCCTTGCAGGCAGGTGGCGCCAGAAGCTGCCCTGGGGCTGGCCTGGGGCTAACCTGACACCTGTGGAGCCTGGAAGCTGGCCAAAGACTGCCTAATCACTAAAGGTCACAGCCCAGGAGCAGAGTGGCAGCCATGGGGACAAGAGCAAACACTAGGCAGACAGCATAGCACAGCACAGCCACGTGGTAGCTGATGCCTGCTATACTCCTGCCAGTGGCCCAAGGGCCAGGACCACTGGCTTCAGTGCGCTCATAGGGCACCTTTTCCCATCCAACAGATGGCACAGAGTCACAGTAGGACAGGTCCTCCCCACCTGGAGTATGCTCTGCCAGCTTCGGCCCCAGCCAGAGTCCTTCAAAATCTACACAGGGAAATCCTTCCCTCACAGTGATTATGGGGAAGGGCTATGGCCAGGCCATGGGGAGTCCTGCCCTCATGAGAGGCCTGAGGGAGCCCATCTGTCCCTTCTTCCATGTGAGGCCTTAGCAAGAAGCCACCATGTAGGAGGGCCAAATGGCTGAAGCCCATGAAGCCTCTGCAGCTGTGAGCTGGTGACCCTGCTGCTCATGAATCACCCGTCTGAAGGTTTCTGTCAGAGCTGCCCAGTAGACTGACAGGTGTCAACACTCCTAGGAGGGAGTGTCCTCCCCACCTCCTACACACAGGGCAGCCTCTGGGAAACACCTGGGAGGGCTGTAAGGAGTCCCAGGCAGCACTCCAGTGTCCTGCCAATGCTCTGGGGCCCTCCTGCCCCACCATCTCCACACGGCCCCTGAACTCAGCCTCAGTCAAGCCAAGAGCTGCTGTTCCCGCCATGTCACATGACCAAGGCTGCAGGCACCCTTCTACCTGCAGGCCCCACAACAAGGCCCCCATGGTGCCCCCAGCCCATCCCTCTCCACCCCCTGGTCTGGTCTTGCCCACAACTGCCCCCACTCCCTAAGTGCCTCTGCTTTGAAAACACAGCCCTCTGAAGACCCTGGCCAAGGCCTCTGCCCAGCACACGGGAAGCACTCGACAGACTGTGAAGGAGTAGACAGGCAAAGGATGGAATTCTAGTGGTCTGAAGTGGCAGGGTCCCCTCCCATCTGCCCCAGGGGCGGTTCCTGCTGAGCCAACCCTGGGCTGTTAGCGCTGCCCTGTTGTGATGCATTTACTCACTGTGCAGGTAGTCAGCCAGGTCCCCACCATTACAGTACTGCAAGAGATCAGTGCCACACGTCAGGCATGGCCAGGCCCCTCCAGCCTGCCCAGGCCCCCAGCCCACACCTGCTCCCATGGCAGGTGTTCCGAAACCCTGGGCCACCACGCCCCTCCCTCCGTGGCTCCCAGTGCTGTGGGCATTGGCCCACCAATGCATGGAGCCTCTGCCCCTGGTGACAAGGGACTGCCTCACTCCAAACTTGACCTGGCCCCACAGGGACTCACCTCCATGACCAGGTAGACGGAATTGGCCATCTCCTGTGAGACAGAGAGAATGCTATGAGAGGCAGGAAAAGTGCCACCTGCTCCCACTGGGGCACAGCTTTGGGGACTGCTGAGAGCCATGGCCAAGTCTGTATGGCTCCTGGCATTTTGCCAACAGTATTGATTGACAGGCGAGGCACTACTATCCTCCTCAGCAGCTACTTTTTTGAGTTCTCACGCTACTTTGGAGTTCTCGTGGGGATTCCTGGGGATTCCCCAAGAGTTCCCATTGGTTGGGGAAGTGCAGGAGGAGGGATTTCCAGGAGAGATTTTTCTGGCTGTGGGTTCCTGGACGAGCCGCATGGTGTTCGGGAGAATTCCCCCTGAGCGTGGGTGAAGTGTTTTCTTGCAGTTCAAAAATAAAGTTTGTTCCTGCTTCAGTGGCTTGTGATTTGTGCCCAGCCAGACTGCGGCAGGGGACTATGGGCACCCTCAAGCTCCAAATGTCCTTGGGGCTTCAGTGAGAGTGGGCATGGCCAGGCCTGGGCCACTCTGCAGGGTCAGGACAGGATGCCTGTGACCAGGGACACTGAAAAGTGTGTTTGCTGTGTTCTATGACTTGAACATGGGTTTGAGTGACAGGAGCAATGGAAAACAGGAGGGACCCGGGGAGGGAGTGGACCCAAGACCAAGGGCCTCTATCAAGGAAGCCCTCTCCCCGAGTCTGAGAGGGTTAAGCATGAATGGTAAATCCTGGCCAACAGGAGCCTCTAGGTAAGGAGGGCCAAGGCCTGGGTGCAGGTTGGCCTTGACCCTCAGGCTCTGGAAACAAGGACGACAACAGATCATGGGTTGCTGCTGCTGGGCTGAGTAGGCAGGTAGAAGGAACCGAGCTGACGGGGCTTGGGCCACTGCCCAGGCCAACCCTCTAGCCAGAGGCATCCTGAGCCATCTGCCCACTGCCCAGCAGGGCTAGTTTCCAGCTGACCCTCAGCTTACACTGACCTACATCCAGGTCCAGTGGCACAAAACCCTAGACATGTAAAGGCCCACTGCAGCAGCCACCTGGTGCGCCTGATGACCAGTGGGCACCAGGTGCCTGCTCGGAAGCAGTGCTACCCCATGACTCACTCATGCCTCACCCCAGTTCTTTGACAAGCACCAGCGCCAGGGGCCAGCAGAGCCAGGCGAACTTGGTCTTAACTGCCCTGAAACTGTGCAGATGGCACTCCTTCCCTGAAGCAGGGCGCCCTGCCAGGGGAAGAGCAAGATCTTCCCCTCCCTTCACAAGCACAGAGCAGAGCTGGCCTTGAGGACAGTGGAGCAAGTCCTGTCACCACCAGCCTCTTCTCCATTCTGTAGCCTGTGGCCGGATGCACAAAGACCCCACTCCAGGGCACCTGGAAGAATCTATACCCTGCTCCACCGCAACTCCAGACGTGCAGTGCCTCCAACTTCAAGTGGGAGACAAAGAGGGTGCACTTGTGAGCCCCAAAGTTCCCACAGTGGGGGCTAGCATCCACCACCAGGGGGATGACAGAGTGCTTTCAGAAGCCCACTAAGACTGAGCACACACTAGCCGCAGGCCACACTGACCAGCCCCAGCAGCCAGCTGCCACCTGTCAACCCCAGACCCCAAGCATGTCCTTAGACATGCCCTGTCCCCATTTGGCAGGACCAAGTATCCCTGACACCTGCTCAGCCAACTGACCCCTTGGGAGGACCAGGCCTGCACATGTACACTTCTAGGGATGGACATAAAGCTGCTGAGAGACACCCTGGATGCAAACACAGTCTCTGTGAACAACACCCTACCAAGCCCCAGAGCTGCGGGGTGGGGAGTGCTCAAGGCAGCCGCGGCACACAGTGTGGTCAAGTCCTGCCTCGCATGCCAGGCTCCACACAGGGTGTGGCCCGGTAAGGAGGACTCATAAGGGGCACAGGACAAGGGGAGACTGTCCATGCAGGCCTGTGCACTCTGCTCCCCGAGTCCTGCCTGAGCTCACCTGCCCAAGCTCACCTGCCCCAGCCCAAGGAAGAGACAGGAAGCCCCGGCAGTGGCCTGCCTCCCACCGGATCTTCCTAGGCCAGCTGGGGGAGAGAGCACAGGTGGGTGGGTTCAGAGTCCCCAACTGCAGCATAACAGGAGCAGGGCTAGAGAGACAAGAGACAGGACAGTGGGACAGTGACAGGATGGAGGAACAGTCAGGGACCATTAAGCCAGAGGGACAAGGAACAGGATAGAGGACAGATAGGAACAGGACAGAGAGAGAGCCCACAGTTCTAACCACCCAACAAAAGTCAGGGCCAGGAGAGGATAAGGGCAAAAGGTAACGGAATTAAAGACCCAGAAATAGCAGCACATACCCCTGCTTCTTACCACCGCCAGGGAGGCCCTGTCCAGAGAGCTTCCACATCCCAGCCAGCGATCAGGGCTACAGAGCCTCTTAATCCTGGAGACACTACCAGAGGGTAGCCAGGTAGGAGGCAGGCCTTCTCTCAATCTTTAGCTGCACTCCTTAGGATTTGACCCAGCAGAGTCCAAACTCACTCAGCAAGCAGGGACAGTGACAGGGACAGAAGCAGGTGGGGGCATATGCAGAGGTAGACCATATCCCCAAGCTGCTCACCCAGGATTGCAGGGACAGAAGTCCTGCTGCCTCTCTCCCACTGGGGGATCTATGAGACACAACAGCAGTCTCCTGCCTCTCCAGAAAGACAGGGCTCCCTGATGCCAAAAGATCCCTTGTATGCCCACACAGCAGGAGGCTTTGGCCCCTGGTCTACACCATCTGCTGCCCACTCTGGCCAGGGCCCTCCCCCAGTCCTGTCTTTACCCAACGGCCTCTGCAATGCTAGGGACTGCAGCTCCCAAGCCTGTAGGTCCCTGAGGGTTCACAGATGGCAAGCTGAAAGGCCTACCCTCCCAGATACCCTTCTAGCCACCACCCCAAGGAGGAAGGCCACTCACATCCCCAGGGAGCCTCCTGCAGCTACCCACCTGCTGTGCTGGCTCCCTGAAACCTTAATGCTGTCCCTGGAATTCACAAGCAGCCACAGGCTATGTGATACCAGCACCCCAGTCTCCTCTCCATGCCCCTTCCCACCCACTCTGGCCTAGCCCCTGCCTAGCCACTCCCAGAGGTGCTTCCAGGCCCAAGACCCAGGCAGGCTTGGGTTGTTCCACCAAGCCACACAGAACTCAGGTTCCGGGAGACCAGCTCAGGCCTTCCACCCACCCCTCTCCTAAGACACACTCTACACAGGTGCCTGGGACCTGTGCACAGTCACAGGGCCTGTACTCTGGCCCCCCAGTGCCCACTCCGACTCCAGGCCTGCCTGATCTCCAACAGGGATGACGACTGAGGCCACAGTAAGTTAGGAGACTCGCCTGGAACCCAAGTGGCAGGACCAGCCAAAGTCAGCTGGTGCCACTGTCCATCCTCAACCTTGCTCAGTGCCAATACCAAACCAGTAGCAATCTGGAACTGCATGCCCACCAGGGGCAGCCCTGCCACATCACCTCGACCCCTGGCAAGGACAAGAACAGGGACCAAACCAGAAAGCCAGCAGGGCCTCCAGGAGCCCGGGTCGAGGACTGTCTCAGAAGCGGCATGCCCAGGCCTGGCCCCAAGCCCCACCCACATCCACTGGGGACCCTCCCTGTGGGAAGTGGCTCTCTCTGGGGCCCTGCAGGGGGCGGGGCAGAAGCCAGATCACAACCTGGTCACCACAGATGATCTGTTCCGGCCAAGCCCTGGGCCCACCCAGAACAGGCATCAGGTTCCACCTCCAAAGCCTCTTAGCAAGACTTGGTTTTCACAAATTCCCTAGGGAGCTGGAGCCAGGCAGGCCTTGGCACCCAGCCAGCCCCATGGACACCTGGAGGGCCAGTGATGCCCCAACACACAAGGCCAGAGACTGCAGGGCAGAGGGAGCCACTGGCCCCATCTCACTCTCAGGGCAGGTCTGGGGAGCCTATCACATCCCCCACACAGGCTGCAGGGGGACATACCCTCAGGTGCTCTCATGGCCTGCGTTATCACCCCAGCCCAGTAGGCAGTTACATCAGTTTAAGGGAGAAACAAGGCAGAGAAGTTGGGAGCTGAGCCCAGTCCCAGCTGACCTCAGGGCAAAACCTCAAGGCAAAACGACCGCTGATGGGGTGTCCATGAAAGACAATTAACACCTCTTTAGCAAGTCAACCAGATGACAGAACAAAGCCTTTGACAGGTACAACTCCAGCAAGGGCCCTGGGGACCAACCTGCTCCCGAAGGCTGGCCCTCTACAGGAGGCAAAGCTAGCTTCAGAGGCAGTGTCCTGGGCAGCTACACGGGAGTCCAGGCACGTAGGAGGCAGCCCCGCCCCTGGGGCACTAAGGTGCTTTGCTTAATAGGATCCCAGCTCCCCACCCTCAGCAGCCCCACTCTGGTCTGGTGATCTTGGGCTGGTGTTCCTGGGCTGGTCTGGTGGGTGGCGGGCAGGGCTGACCTACTTAACTCCTTTGGGGCGGCTCCTGAGCTCCAGAAGGCAGCAAAGCCACAGCCATGGCCCGGAAATGTCCTCTCCACCTCCCCAGGCTGCGTTTTCTGGATAGCTCCCAAAAGGGAAGAGATGCCTGGTTCCACCCCAAGGAGGAAGGCCACTCACATCCCCGGGAGCCTCCTGCAGCTACCCACCGTTGCTCCCTGACCCACGTTTGGCCTCTCTGCGGCTTAATGTGGACCTTCAGGCAGGTCCCTGAACCCAGGGCTGCTCACTGGCTGTGGCAAACTGGGTGTCCTGACCCCTAAGGGCAGGACCCTCTGCAGAAATGCAGAGGATGTTGCCAGGGTTAGCAAGGTCCCTCAGAAAGACAAATTGCATACCCCTCCCTGAGACCCAGCAGCCCTGATCCGTGCACACCACTGAAACCTATCAGAGCTATTCTTTCTGCCGCTGAGCAGAGACTCCACCATTCAGGGACACAGACACACACACACACACAGACACACAGACACACAGACAGACACACACACACACACACACACACACACACACACACGGCAGAACAGTCCCATTGTGGGATACCACAGCCATGAAAAGGAGACTCCTGACCCAGTGACAGAAG